TGAACGAAGGTCTTACGGGTTTGAAACGACATGAGGGTGAGTAATTAATGACAGAATTCTCATTTATGGGTGAACTAACCCTTTAAGGATGAAATGTGAATTATCTTTGTTTGTTTCTCTGCTGTACCTGGTGTGAATATGTGTTTTGTCCACCACACTGGCTGGCCGGTAGAGTTTAGCGATGACTTCAGGAGCAGGTGAGGGCAAGCTGACAGACAGCATTTTATACACGGCCTCAGTCTTCGGAGAATCAGCAAAATGAGCCGGCATGCCATTGTACAGAGCTTGAACAGAGCCTACATCCAGATAAAACAATAACATTGATCATGATAAATGTTTCTTGAGCACCAATTCAGCATATTAGAATGATTTTTGAAGGATTGAAGACTGGAGTAATGACTGCTGAAAATTCAGCCTTGCATATCATAGGATCATAGGAATAAACTACATTTTAAAATGTATTAAAACTGTTATTTTAAATTGTAATAATATTTCACAATATTACTGTTTTTACTGTATTTTCAATAAAAAGTATACAAAAGCATTAAAAAGTCTTGCTGACTCCAAACTTTTGAATAATAGTGTATTAAAAGCTTCTTTAATGTGTTATTTTGTGCACCTGCGGTTAGAGGAACATCTGTAAGATCATACAGCTCTTCTGAGGAATCTTTGTCTTTCTTTTTCTTTTTCTCCTCAACAGGACGGAGCAAGGAGAGCTCCTCTGGGTGACGTAAATCTGAAAGCAAGATAGATTCGTTTTTGGAAATGGTAAGCTGAAACTTAGTAACAGATTGCTTATAGAGGGGGTGTTGGATCCAAGCTTGATCCTTCACTTACTGAGAACCCTGCAGATGCCCATGACTGTGCGAAATACAGGACTGGAGAAACAAGCTCGCATTTTCAGCGTAGCCCCATTCGGCAAGCCCAGTCGCAGAGGCTTGTGCTGTGGGGTGAAGACAAGGCGAGCATCTGCGTGGACCCCACATTTGTCCAGTGTCCAGCCGGTCCGCAGCAGCCACTGCTGCTTCTGCTCCCACCACAGGGAATGATCGGACCAGTCCTTCTTCAGATCTAGAAATAAGACACAAGAACATCTCACATGGTAAATAAAGATTTAGGAACCATACTTAATTCTAAACACAGTTTTTATTAATATGGGATAATTTGTTGTCCTGTTGATAATATGGGGTATCATTTGGGGTAGGTAAAGTTTTTGAAAGAAGTCACTCATGCTTACCAAAGCTGCATTTATTAGATCAAAAATACAGAGAGAAAAAAAACATGATATTGTAAAACATTCTTGCAATTTTAACCGGTTTTCTAAAATATTTTAAAATGAAATTTTCAGCTGTCATTACTCTAGTCTTCAGTGTCACATGATCCTTCAAGAATCATTCTGACATGCTGATTTGGTGTTTAAAAAACATGTCTTTTGATTGTTAATGTTGAAAACAGTTAATATTTTTGTTGAAATCATGATATATATTGTGTTCATGATTCTTTAATGAATATAAAGTTCCAAAGAACAGCATTTATTTGAAATTGAAATCTATACTAAGAATGTAAAAGTCACTTTACTGTCACTTTCAACCAATTTAATGCTTCCTTGCTCAATAAAAATATTAATTTCTTTAAAAAAAAATCATACTGATCAGAAACTTTTTAATGGTGGTACATGTAAATCGAATGTGTGTCATGTTGCTGTTATAGTATGTGCACAAAAAAGCAAATATAATAGCCTATATAATATAATAGCCTATATTTGAAGCATCTAGAGCATAACTCACTGGTCTGCTCAACTAATTTGAGAATAACTCCGCCAATGTGCAGATCAGAGGTCACGCTGATTTGATAGGGTGGGGCATCAGGACCAAGATCTTTCACTGTGACTGTAAGGTCCCACGCTGCCATACTGCTGCCAAGAGATACCAAAAATATGGAAACAGTGAGGTTTGATCAGACATAAGCTGTTCTGTACACTGGTCCATTATTCTATTTAAAAGCATCAAAGTTTTGAGCATGGACCAAACTTTAAAACGCATGATGAGTAGCTGTATATCACATGCTTAGCATGATCATACTCATGGTAATGGTGGTGACACATCACCAGATCATGCTTCATCTACCCTGTGAGTCAGTGTGATCATGCCGTTTGCTCCTAGTTAAGTTTACTGAGGCTGATACTTCCCATTTATACACATTTCCTTTTTTGGTCAAGTGTCTAATCCACCAATGCATGTAATTGTGTGTATATATATTGGTCGTGTGGGTGTGTGTGTGTGATATTTCTGAAAATAGTTAACTGAAACTGAAAACTGAAATAGACCCAAACTCAATAAACATAAAAAAATATTATTTAATGACTCAGCTTCATGTCATTTAAACTTCACAATAAAATAAATTAATGTAGACACAAAACTGCAAAATAGGGCAATGTGTAGTAAACACCTTTAGATAATATAGTTTATACAATTAAAATGCTTTAGATGTAATTTAACCACCTTAATATTGTATTATATTGTACATTTTTACATCTTAAAGTGACTACAGAACTATCTCACTGTTTTTGTTTTAAATTACTCACTGTTATAATAGCTCAAAATTTTATTTAAAATAATTATAATTTTGTTACCTTGTCTGTTTGGCTCTGGATTTGCCGATGATAGTCTCTCTCTCTTGTGCGGTCAATTAAATGCTGGTAGGTCTCTTTATGAGATACACAAACACACACTCATATAGACAAGACCCCTCTGCTGTGTAAAATCAGTTGTGGTTTTTAAGGGTGTCAGAGCTGACAGAAAAGGGTGTTCCTCTTTTCTTGGCTTCCGTGTAACGGAACTGTGTATGACTGTGTTGTTTTCACACTAAATGCACTCTTACACAATACAACAAAAACTCATGTTATATGGGCATGAAAGTACAGCCTAGACCGCAGAGTGTATTGTTGTTTTTCACAGTGTAAGATGGTGCTATAATCAAATTATTGATTTTTATCCATTGAAACAATATAAAAGAGGCTTCTGTAGAGTCTTTATTTAGCCAACATTGAGAAAAGAAGAGATACTGAAATGGGTATATGGGATACACAAAAATCCTATTTCAATTTCATATTCATCTAAATCTGTTTTATATTAATTGAGAGTAAATGCAATATTTGTACATTAAAAAACTTTACCTGTTCGAGACAGCAGAGCTCACAATTATTATGCAAATTTTCCAGCTTGTATTTGTTTTAGAAATGAATAAATAAATGGATAAACATTATACACTGCCAGACAAAAGTTTGAAAGTAGTCTCTTATTTTCACCAAGCATGCATTTATGAAAAATCTACAGTTTAAAGACATTGCTTTCTATTATAATATATTTTAAAATTTAATTTATTCCTGTGATGGCATAGCTGAATTTTTAGCAGCCATAACTCCAATCTTAAGTGTCACATTATATCAGAATCAGAATCAGAAAGAGTTTTATTACCAAGTATGTTTACACACAAGGAATTTGACGACGACAGGAGCTTCCAGTGTAGAAGAAAGTATGGACATAGTGCAAACATACATGATAGTGCAGACATACATAGGAATAACACAGTAGGAATAGAATGCTATTGCTACTATTACCAATACAAATGGTTAAGAAACGAAAAATAGTCAGTTACAGCGCCTACATTCATATCAAGTGTAATCCAAAATCAGGACGTTGACAAAACTTAATGTCAATTGTACTAGTCAAACCAAAATTAGGCTATTAGTAACAGGACAGCTTGACTAAAAGATTGCGCTTACAGCATCGTGCCGCTAGATGTCAGTAAAGGATGAATTATGTTTATCCGGAACAGTCCAAATAACGAAAAGCGCTGGCGAGTGAATTCACGGACCCCTACATATTGGTATAGTCCCGTCTGCTTTCATTGTCAGACAGTTGAGTTTCAATTTCACTATTGTTATTTCAAATAAACTGTAAACTGCTTGTTACAACAGATTCCATATCGCAACAAGGATAAAATCAAGGCACAGACGGGAGACATTGGGCCTTTAAACTTTAGATCTGCCAGCTGTCAAGACAGAGACCATGGCGTTTCAGATGTCAAAACTTGCTGCTCGTGTTTGGCTCTCCAAAAGCGTTGGGTTCACATCCAGCGCTGGGAACAGATGTCCGACTCTCGATTTGATCAGCAGACTTGCACATCGCTCCCTTCATGCGCTCAAAGCGCTGCCCTCCCCGGGGCTCTTACGTAAAGCAGACAGGTGGGAGAAGGTTTCCACGGCCTCAAAGTCACTTCACAGGCGGAGTGGAGGGGCTGTTAAGCCGCACCGCATCACCGGGGTTGTAGTGGGCGCCGTGGGGGGTCTCTGCTGCGGCGCTGGCCTCTCTGAGCACGAGCTGAACCTGGACTCAGAGAGCAGCGACTGGACAGAGGCGAAGAGTGAGTCCCTCCCTCTCCAGAGATCAGAGCCACTGTCCAGCACACACTATTAAGATATATTATTATTATATCAGGGTGATCCGGCTCTTGCGTAACACTGAAGGACTTTAATTAGCAAATGACTGCACATTATCCCAATTATCTATCTATCTATCTCTGTCTGTCTGTCTGTCTGTCTGTCTATCTACACTGTAAAAAAATCTATCTCTACACTGTAAAAAAAAAATCCGTAAAATTTACTGTAAAAAAACTGGCAGCTGTGGTTGCCAAACTTTTACTATAAAAATATGGTAGCAACATTTTAGGTTTTACAGACTTAAATTTACATTTAAAAACCGTATTTCATATAAAAATATGATATTAAAATACCAACCTACTCAAAATACTGAAATCTGTTTAGTACCTTTAGTAATACACTGATAACCATCAAAACATGTGGTCATGAGAAAATCACATGATGAACCAAAGCTCATCACAAACAGCTGTTCCACAAGCTGAGAAAGAAAACAATAATATATGAAGAGTTTATTTGCAAAAACAGATAACTCAATTTTTTTAAATTTTCAAAAATCACGTTTTTTATTATATCATGTTTTTAGTGTGTTAGTTAGCTGTATTTTTGTAGTTATTTTTACTTGATCAAAATAATCCAACTGCAGTTTGATTGAGATTAATTGGAATGCACAATGAAAAAACATGATTTTTGAAAATAGTTAAAAATGGAGTTATCTGTTTTTGCAAATTAACTCTTCATATATAGAAAGTGCGCTGTGTCATTCACACAGATACTAAACACCATCATAGTAACACACATGAAACTGAAATAAGGCAATACACATGAATTTAACATTATTTGTAAGATAAATGCCTAATGTACACAACTGATAAGAAAAAGTAAAAAGAAGAAACAGTTATTTCAATGAAAAAACATCAAACATGAAATGTAACATGGAATTCTGGCTTCCAAAAACTGTATTTTAGCGTAAAATTACATGAAATGTCCATTAAAGTTTTTCACTGTATATAGTGAGGGAAATTACCGTTAACCAATTAATACGTTTTTACTATAGCATTTTTACAGTCTTTTACCATTAAAATCGTGACCATTTTTACAGTGGTCTGTCTATCTATTGGAACTATTTGAACTTTAAGTCTAGTCTCAAGCCAACATCAACATTTTCTGTTTTAACCAATCAGAATCACTGTATTTATCAATATCAATAAACTGAGCCCTGAAATTTCTAAATGAAAATCAAATAGTGTTTCATTTGATTTATTTTGTATGACTTGGTTTGCATATTTGTCTTTGGTAGAAAAGCTTTGCTCCATAAGGAGAAGAGGAGGGAAATGTACAGGGTTGACTTCATTCCTCTGGAGAAGATTCCTGTCTGGAGTCCATCAGGTGAACAAAACACACTAAAACACTCATCATGTATAATAATAATAGAAAAAGAGAATCTTTTTGTTTTAATCCTGAACCAATTGAACCTGTTTGGAGTCATTCATGAAGATATGAATAGATTGTTGTATGTAGACCAACTTATATGAGGGTTGTTTTGTGTAAATACATGACAACTGTGTGCTTCTTTTTAGGTGACTCCTCTTGTAAGCCTCGGTACAAATTCAATGAAGAGCTGAATGAGAAAATATCCCTCTTCAGTGGTGATATCACAAAACTGGAGATCGATGCAATCACCAACGCAGGTGAGAAACGAAGTATAGGAAAATTCATAGTCTGCATTACCTGGTCTGCCAAACTATTTTATTGTTCCCAAGTATGCTTGTGCCTGGCTGTATATCATAAACTTAAAACACAGATTCAGCAGTTTATGTTTAAGATAATTTTTGCACAAAGAGTCTTGGTCATTTTTTTTGTAATGAATTGTTTTTCCATAATTGCAAGTCATTTTTGTTGAAAATATGCAATACGCAGGAGGATTTGTCATAGTTGAGCTTTAGTGCTTTTTCTCTGAATGAACACTGCCCTATATATTAAGGCAGTGAATCTTTCATCTTCTTGGTTTGCAGGACTAAATGTCTTTGAGTTCAGAAAGCACTTCAATAGAGCAAAGAAAAACCCCTTCTCAGCCATATTGCTCTTTTTCCAGTACTAATAAAAGATGCCTTTTAGAAAGCAGAAATCATCAGCCATCCTCATCGGTAGATGTCATGTCACTAGGTGGAGATAGAGCTTACTGTCTGTGTGTGGTATCCAGTCAGTCCCTTTGTAGACACACCTGAAGGTTTCGTAACATTCATCTGCATTTGTGAGTTTGTTTTTGGCAGTTGCAGAACAAAGTGACTTTCAGTGACTTTCAAGCTTTTTCACATTTGCATCCTTTAAATAGCTAAAGAGACAAGTCAAGCACTAAGATGACAGACTAAAAATTCTCTCAGTTGCATGCACCTGCAAGCTTTAGTCAGAATAGCTATATTTAATTTTGCCAAAGGAAACAGAGGGACAGATTTTCTGTTGTGTACATTGGTGTCAGTTGTTCAATACTGAAGTACATCATTCCAAAAGATTGATTGTAAAAATTAGCTGTGAACTAAGACTTTAGGTCTTTAAGTACATTTATCCCTCACAATCTTGTTTCAGTCGTGTTAAAATAAATATGTCGTCTACCTGAACTGAGGTCCATTTTAGGTCAGGAAATGAATCAATTTGATAATTAATATGCTGCTATTAAAGTCAGCATTTCAAGATATTTAGCATATTGACATTAGCATATTCATACAGCGTTAGTAGAGTGCTCAGGTTTATTATTTCTCCATCATCAGCTCTAAGCTGCCATAAAGCAAAGCAGTGACTGGTTAATGTTTTAGCAGTCGTATTACCACAAGACTTTATGCCTACTGCTAGTCGGCCTAATGGAGCTCATTGAAACAGGTGTGCAGAGAGATTGTTTTCAGACTTGTTTGGAACATGAGCAAAAAGAGAAGAAGTGGGCGAGGAGAAAAAGAAGCTGAAAAGGCAAAGGACTAAGAGTGGGCATGGAGAGAAAAAGAGGAGTTTGTCTGACAGGGCATTGATTCATCTCTCCCAGTTGACGCATTGATCGGCTGGCCGTAGCAGGTCTCGGTGTAAAAGCGTGAGGATTAACAGACTGTCCAGTGGTCATTAATTTAGAGGTTGCAATGAACTTCCCAGTACTGCTAAGTGTGCATCTCACTCACCAAAGTACCCAAGTGAACACAAGCATGCACTGTAAGAGGATTGTACTTGTATGTTTTTGTAGCATGTTGCTTTAAAGATTTTGCAGGTGTTAACTAATTTCATTCACATTTTGATGAAAGATTATAAAGGCAAAATTGTTTGTTTCTTGAATAGCATGCATGTGCTGTTCACAAGAAGGATGTTGTGTATTAAAAGAGTAGTGAGTTAACTTTTAGTACATTTTGGATTTTTTTTAAATGTAAGATTTATGTATTTGAGTTGTACGTAAAATTGTATTACACAGTTTTAACATAAACTAATTAATTTAATATGATGAATATTTTTCAGTCATACATAAATGAAAGATTCCGGAATCAAAAAATCATGGCATAGCATGGCATGGCATGGCATTATTAACTATTTTCTTTTATTAGATTTGAATAATCATATTTTTTAAAATGATTGCATTTGATTAATATGCTTTGAATCAGCATCTATTAAATTTATTCAGTTAAAAAGTATAAACATGGTTAAAATATGATTAACTTCAAATAGTTAAAATGTATGAGACTCAGATGAATTGGATTTTTTTGATGATAAGTACTATTTAAACAGTCTGTTTTAGTAATATTACATAAATCTTACAAGTTTCGTTTATGTATGAATGGCAAATATGCATTACATTAAGTTTATTAGTTTATGGTAAAACTTTGTAATCAAAACAGATGGAAATTGTATATGCAATTCAAATGTCAAATTTAAGCTTTTAATATTTTTTGAGTGCAGCACATTAATGTGAAGTATGCATGTACTGTTCAAAGAAACACACCCTTATCTGTATTATTATAGTGTATATAATTCAGTGATCATGCATTTGATTAGTCACCTTTCAAATGTTACAGTCCAGTGATTATTTCTGTTGCATTTATCTTTACCTTTTCATTTGTGGAAGCTGCAGGGGTAAGCAGGATTTTTGGCAAAGGGGCCACATTGAATTTTAAATGGAGAGTGGGGAGGGCACAATAAAATTACCTTGGAGATGCAATGTTCTTCACGATTGGATCTTCTAAAAGCTGATAGAAGTCTATGTGCTCATTCTAATAAATGGCACACAGTTTTCTGAAGTATGTCTGACTAATGGGGCCACTCAGTTCATTTTTTGCACTACCTTCAGTATTGCTCTACAAAGGTACATTCAACAAGGTTTATTTTACATCCTCCCTGGAGAGTTTATGATTCAAATGTACACAATGGTAAGCTAAGAGCCTTAGCCTCTTAGAAACATTATAGGAAAAGTTAATATTCCCAGGTTATTGTGCTTTTCATTAAAACATTTTTTTTATTTAGTAGTTGCAGTACACAGAGGAATCACTATCAAGGGAAATGTGTCATGCTCATGTGTGCATATTATAGAAAACTGTCATGAAACATCTAATATTAAGTTAGATGCTACTGAGTGGTTGCCTGGATCTAACAAGTATCATGTTTCCTGGTCCTAGAGCCCCCCAGTGACTACACATTTTGGACGTCTTGCTTATCTGACACACTCATTTAAGGTCTTCGAGTCTCTACTAAAAAGTCGATGTCTTGAATCAGGTATCTTTGACTAGGGAGACATACAAAATGTGCAGTGTTGGATATACACCGCAACCAGGTTTGAGTAACAGGTCTGAGTTTGATTAAAATGTATCACTGATGTAATTAGCACCAAGCAATGACTTTCCTTTGAACAGAATATAGCACTGGAGATTGATAATCTCCAACATGTAGTTAGATGTTTGGTGGCACCTTTCACAGTAGAGAGAGAGAACATGCTCATGGTTGCCATATTGGGTAAACTGCGTGAAATACTGGGCAGGTTGTGCAGGTTTAAAGCACTGATTGAGTATTTTGGTTTGGATCCTTCATTACATTTTGCTGGAGGCACGCTAGATGCTACTGAGTGATAACAGAGCTATTGAATGACAAAACATTTTTTGATAATTGACGTGTGGGCTGGATTAAACCACGTTGAGGGCCATAGTTTGCCCCTGTGTGTGCTAGACTCTTATGAAGGTCAGAATTAAACAACCGTTTACTGAGCAAAAATGTACAAACACATTCTTTGAAACTTTGAGAACTCAATCAGTCAATACGGAGAGTGATGGAGAGGTGGGCTGGAGTAGGGAGGACTGTTTGTCTGTTGTTCTCAATAAAGATTGGATTTACAATAACATTGCCTCCACCCCCTGTCCTCTCTCTCCTCCCTCTCACAACATTTTACAGCTCTTGGCTTCAAGATCTGCCCTATAAAACACCGTAAACATAAAATCCACAAGCACTTAGGAACTGTCCTTCCGAGAGCAGGGGTGGAGGGAGGGATAAACATTCTTTTTACGCCACTAGCCATCCATCGCTCTGTCAATCCACCCATCCATCTAGTTAGTGGGAGAGGATATACTGTCCTGTATTGGTTTATTAAGATGCATTACATTGTGAATAGTGTATTGTGATTGGGTTTGTGAGAGAAAAAAACCCCCACATGCCCTTGTCAGTTTTACAACTGAAAAGTACACAAAAAGAAAAAAAAAGTTATTATTATTAGGAGAGGGTTATGATGTAGGATCATAACCTCAAAACTGAATAAAAAGTGTTGTTTAATGAAGATTATTTGGAGTGTTGCCTCACAATGTTTGCTCATGGGAGAAATTGCATTCGTCCTCCATGTTTAGTCTGCTGGGAATTAAAAACGAGTGTCAGTGTTCGGAGTTACAGATAAGCGATATTCCAGACAGATACAGAAACCATCCCAGATAAGAGTGACGCCATGTAGTATAGATTAAAATGGAACTAAGAGTTTTTATTCAATTTCTTAAAAATATAAAAAAAACGAAATTGGATGGATTTGATTGAATTTCTGTATTATAAAAAGCAGCAAAAGAAAGTGGAGGGAACTCTATCTTTACCCTCAGCCAGAAAAATAGCCCCACAGATAGAGGAGAGAGGCCTGACAGAGGATGAGAATGAAGAGAGTAATGCTGCATTTCTGTCTGCGCAGTTTTAGCCTTCACTGCCGGGTAAGACAGTATGCATAATTCACACTGATATGTCTTCCTTTCACAGAAAGCTTGTGATATTCACACAGCTTTAGCAGGGAGTGTGGATAGTGCCACACAGGCGTATGTAAAATGTGTAGACATCTCTAAATAGGTCTGAAAATGCAGCTTATTTGTCAAAGAGCATAAGCCATTAAATCTGTTATCTGTTGCAAATGAAGCTCAGCATCCTTAGCTGGTGGTTCAGACCCCTCTCACCAGCGTAGGCGAATTTAAAATGAGTTCACACTGAGAAATCTCACATCTCTCAGCATATGCCACATTGTTGCTAATTGGAAACCAAGCTTGTTGAAGGGAAATGGTTGTCACACACACAACCTTAATAAATTCATTCTGTCTGCGTCGCTTAGAAAATGTAATTTCAATGAAATGGCTTTTCTTTTATATAGCGTTTTAGCCAATTTAGTTTGTTTTGTTGAATACTGCGGCAATTTGAAAGAAGAAAAAAGGTTTAAACATGTATTTGAACAATGAATATAAATTAAAGGAGAATATGAGCTGTTCATTCATATATTTTGAAACGTCCAGAAATTCCCAAATGTAGTCCCGTGATTGAATTCTGTTTGATGCCCAAGGCTTTAGAATCAGCTTTCAGTTACTGAACCTTTAATGATATGAATGATTTAGGATAAAAAAAAAGAAAGATCTGAGCATGTTTGCAGAATGGCAAGCCTCATAGCAATTATTTTAGGCCTCGTTAAAAGCCTCCCATCTATACCGTTCTCTCACAATCAATCGCCACTTTAGCTCCAATGAAGGAATGTGAAATTGTTGGTCTCCTCTCAGTCTAATTAGTCTAATTGACCCGATGTGGTAAATGCAGGGAAAAGAGGTATGCGGTTCATCAGGGACGACTTCTGAGAGTTGCTGCTGCTGTTTGGAAAGGTGCAATTGCTTGGTGTAATTGTAATTCTTAGTTTGGTTTCACTAGGTACAATGTGAGAAGTGCTGTGAAGCCCCTTGGTGTAGCTTCTCGGGATTTGATTTACCAGTAATTGGGACTTGTCAAACTCTCAAGTTAATTGTTGGGTATTGTGAAGTTGGCCTTTTAACTGGTAATTTTAGTGGCAAAAGCTGCTTTCAGGTATTCTTTGGCGGATCGTTACGGATGCTGTTACTGTGCCTTTTTCCATATGTCAGTGTCTGCAACTGTCTTCGGCTGTCTTCATGCTTAATAAGACTCAATAATTTGATGTTGCTGTGAATTGTAAATCACTATAAAAGAAGGTGCTGTTTTCCAATCATCTAGAATTACATTAATTTGAGAAATGGGTTGGGGAACAGGTGTGAATAACTAATTGAACTGTATGTTGTCTGAGAAACCGTGCTGAGGGCATCATGTGCTTTTACGTACACATTAGATGTGTTTAAAGGCCATTCTTTCTTGGATACTGTTTTCTGTGCTTCCTCCCTCTCATTATATTGATCTCTAGATTGCTTACACAGGCATTACCACACTCTCCAGATTGGAGGCATGTTTGCTCTTAAATAGACACTATCAAATTGGCTACTCTTTTCCTTATTCACTCTTCCAGCGGATGAATGTGTGCCATATATGCCTATCAATGCCACCATGGAGATTTAGCTTCATAAGGGCCTTAAGAACTGACAAGGGGATTTTGTCTAATACATGATGTGTGAATTTGATATTATTTTGAAGCACAGGGAAAATGTTTCCTTGGATTATAGGTGATATATTTCTCTCTCTCTCTCTCTCTATATATATATATATATACACATGCACATCAACAATGCGTTTCATCACAACTTTTAATGATACATATATCAACGAAAAAGATAACAAGCTTTATTTACTATTCATCATTATGTATATCCATATCTATAACGAGAGAAAGAAGTGATTTACATGGACTACTTTTTGAATAGTTCACTTTTAAAATGCATCAGAAAAAGGCTGGAAAATTGCAGATCCGGTACAGATATCCTTTTAGTGTTCCTACCTTTCTACTCTCCCGGCTAATGCTGCGTTTAAGTCACACAAAGTCAGACTGTGGAAAAAAAGTGGATTGTCTTTAATCAATTAAAGACCTTTGTTCTCTCTCTTCCTTCTTAGCCCACACACAAGATGCAGAGGTTCACAGTGTTACATATTTTATTAATCCCTGATTTCTGTTTTTCCTGCACCTCAGGGGTATAGATACACACCGTTTCACACACAAAGATTGTAATGAGCCGACATGTTAAAGTTGTCTGATCATTTGTAATTTTTTCTAGTCATCTGCTAGATTTCATGTCCATGATATTTTCTGGTATGTTCTGTATCAACAAGCCCTGCCCTTCAGTTTGCTTTTTTACATGCTAAATTGACTGCATTATCTATGTCAGCCTGTCAGTTTGGGTTCATTCATCAATTAGGGTTGCCCCCTTTCATGATTGTCTTTAAATGCCTCTTTCTGTTTAGTTTAAATGACCTCAGATTTCTTAAAGTCATTCCTTTCGTCATAATTGAAATGCATTTGTCTGTTGTTGAGCAGGTAAAACTACTGAGCTTCATATATTTTGTTTGACTGTTCTTGAAACCTTCATGTAGTGAATGAAAAATGTGATTTTTTTTTTCATAAGATATCCACTTTTTCAGTGTCTTATTTTTTTGACAAATTTTCTTTGTGAACATGAAACCTTTTTCTGTGCCTTGATCTCTTTCCTTCTCTTTCCTTTTGTCTCCTTCTACCCCACTTTTGTCACTCTCATTAAAAGAAAAGAAACCCAGTAGCAATTTGAGGTCTTTCATTGTCAAAACCATTATCACCACTGTCAGCTCTCTGGTTTGGGAACAAAGTCCTCGTGCTGCGTGCAAAAGAAATAGAGAGAATAAAGGAAAAGCCCATAAAAGGAGGGAGAGAGAACTGAGAATTAGAATTTGAATAACAGCCCCTCAAAAAGATTTCTTTTTTGTTGTTGTCGTCAGTATGCCCCAGAATGGAAAGGCATCAGTTTCCCCCAGTGCACATATACACAGTAAAGTCCAGGTAGTAAAATTATATCTATATGAACCTGGTCCCAGATCTCATCATCATCATCATCATCATCATCATCATGCTAACCCTTCAAATGAGCTAGTTTTAGGACACTGATAATCATTGTTACTAAGATGCAAAAACAGCTTAAATTATCATCTGAACATTGTTTAACATCAACACCAAGAGTGGTATCCCTGGCACTTTCTGACTATTATAGGTATTTTGAGCATGTTCCAGAGGGTTTTTTGCCCATAAAGAACAATGTTTTGAAAACAGACTAAAGGAGGCACAAAGGGTACTTTGGAATAGGGGTGTGCCGAATGAAATCCTGATTTATCCACATATCACGAGGTGTTCTTTCTGAATATTTTTATGTAACCATGTTATTGTTTTGCATCATTTATGTAGAGTGTTTGCAGTACAGTCCATATAGCATTTTTAACACCTGGTTTTGAATAGTAAGTCATATTCATTCTTGTAACATTACTAAATTACCCAATTCAATTCAATTCACTCGGAATCCTGATTTTGATTTTAAACATCTTCATGTTACACCAGTGCTCCAATAGTGAGAAAACTATACTATTTTAAGTATAAATATTTTGATTTTAAAAAATCTACTTCAAATCTTCTATCTAGTAATAAGATTTTCTGTACGATAGATGGGGGAAAATGGTCCCCTTAGAATCGGCACACCCCTACTTTAGAACCTAGGGAAAAGAACCCTTACCTAACTGCTTTACCTGATAACAGGAACAGAATAGGAAGGGGGTTATAAAAAAGACTATCACGTGTATGAGTAATCTATGTCTGGTATTCCTCCTTCTCTGTACCCTCGATTTGTTCCATAGCCTGGATTTCCTGTGTGGTTCAGGGTGCTCCTATATAGAGTTGCATTATTAGAGGGAAAGATAGTATGAATGTATGTCATATCCTCAACTTTTGCCTTGGGCTGCAAAGGCTGTTGGGTAGACATTGGTGTCATTTGAAAGCCATGAGCTCTGATTTCTAAGATGGACGTGTCTTTTATGGTTCCAGACTCAACATAGTCATCGTAGTGTTTGCTGGCACCTTGTGAGCCAACAACATCTCTACCATATACAGAATGGTCACCTTGCGCAAGGTACCCCGCACGGTGTCCGTACCAGCAGAAGATGCCAAAAATGAAGAACAAAGACACCAATGCTGTTGCACCTCCAATAATTCCAGCAAGTGGTAGGGCTGACAGTTGGTCAGTTCCTCGATCAGTGTCCTGGTCTGAAATAGGCTGCTCGAAGGGATCAGTCTCTGTTTTGGCACAAGCAGGGTGCTCATGCTCTGAGTTTGTGTTAAAGTTTAAACCCCCACTTGCTGTAAAAGAGGTTCTTTTACCATCATTTCCAGAGAGAGGCACCAAGCAGATGATGTAACTTGACTGGGGCTGTAGTTGCGTAAGTAAATACTCACGGCGATCCCCTGGTACAAGTGTTTCTGTGATTGACCCCATTGCAGGACTGTTGCCTAGTCGCAACCAGGAAAGTCTGAAGGAGGGGACTGGCTGTGAAGCCTGCCAGGTAATGTGAACTGTCTCTGGTGTGAGAGGTTTTACACTGATTAGTAATGATTTTCCTGTAACCCCATTTCCACCTCCAAGGCTGTCCTGGCTAATATCTGAATACTTGTGGCCTGGTCGTCTGGATCTGAGGGTAAAGAGAGAACCCTGCGGAAGTGGAGGGGTTGTTGTAGCTGGTGCTTGTGTCGAAAAATAACTTTTCTCCTTCTTTGCTCCATCGTTTCCAACCATTCCTCCTGCAGAATCTACGCTGACCTCACAGTCTTCCAACTGACTTGTAAGGTCCCTTAGTGCCATGCCTCTTACTCTCTCTGGTCCATGGCAAGTTAAACCTCTCACAGTCACTGATGAACCTCGCTCATGCAACCAGTCATGAAGCCAGCGGAGGTTACAGCCACAGTACCAAGGATTTCCTCGAACAAGTAATTGTGAAAGGCTGTCCAGGTCCTTGAATAAACCTCTCGGGAGAGTCGTCAAGTTGTTACCTGATAGATCCAGTTTCTGTAGCCTTCGCATGCCATCCAGGGAGCCTCGTGGCATGTGGGCTATGGCATTGTCCTGTAGATAGAGGCGAAGAAGATGCATACTTGGAAGGTTTAATGGTGGTGCCTGGAGCGAGTTACGAACCAGAGAGAGCTCTGTGAGATTAGACAGCCGTGAGAATGTATCATCTGCGATACGCTGATTTGCCAGCAGATTCCCATCAAGGAAGAGACGTCTTAGAGAGGAGAGACCTCGAAATGCATGTGTTGGAATAGTTGAAATCCGATTGTCATCTAGGCGGAGTTCCTCAAGTGATGCAGGCAGTCCTGATGGTATACTCGAGAGGTGGTTGCGTGACAAGAAAAGAAGACGCAGCCTCGGATTGTTGGCGAATGCTTTGTCTTCTATACTTACGGTTGAAACTGAATTGTCATCCATGTGAAGCTTCTCCAGTAGGGGGAGCCGTGCAAGAGCGGAACGGGGTAAAGTTCGTATATTGTTGTCCTGTAGGTGAAGTTCTCGTAGCGACGGAGGCAGATGTGTTGGAAAATCATCAAGTTCATTATCATAAAGGTAAACTACTCGCACAGTCAGTTGTCGCTCTAAAGATGTTGGTAGCCCAGCATTGTCGATGCGGTTGTTTTGCATATAGAGCACAGCTGCCGTTAATGGTAATGGTGGGATGATACTCAAGCCACGGTCATTGCAGTAAATGAAGCCATCATCGCACCGGCAAGCTGAGGGGCATGGCACGTCTCCCTGAAGCTCCGCCTCTCCAAGAGCTGCCTCCGCGGCAGCAGCTGTTGCTGCAGCAAACTCGAGGACTTCAACCAATAATGTCAGGCATAGGAGAAGTAGGAACAACCAATCGCGGAGTTCAACTAGGCTCTCTGTGGCCATAATTCCAGGCAATGTACCCCACTCTCTCTGCAGAGGTAATTTAACCCAATGTCTCAAGTCAATATTCTTGGTCAGTGTAGTAAAATGCAGGTCTTTCTTGCCCTTCTTTACTTCCAATCACAAGCCCTGTGGGAAATATAGAAAATATATATTTTTTTGGCTAAGTTTTTTTCAAAATACAGAGGTTACATTTGGTGTAGAGTTCAGTGCAATTATAAGTCCACATATCTGTTATTTAGTATGCTGTCTGACATCTGCTTAAATGTGAAGAACATTGCAAGGTGGTAAGAGGTTAGTAAGCAAGAGCAGAGAAAATCAGTCAAGCTGAACGGCTTTCTAGATAACCTTAACAGAGCAACTGACAGATAGGGAGCATTAGACATAACATTAAAATAAAAAAGGACTGAAAGAGAACAGCAAATGGATTGCGGCTGAGCTATGTAAATGAATAGTGTGGAAAAAGTTGAATGTAACGATTACATTGCTATATTATACATTGAAAATTGTAGGTGTGAGGTGGTCGTTCTGAACTTATATTAAAATGTGATTGACATTTGAGTTCCTGAAAAAACAATTACAGGTTTATTCCTGGATTGACCTTAAGTCATATTACAATTCAAATGCAGCAGGGAACTGTGTTTGAATAAATCACTAGTTTAATTTTAGCTCAAGTTTTTGAAAGTTCACAGAGGGGTCAGATAGAGTTCTCGTTTTCAGCCTGATTTGCAATTGAGATTTAGATGAAAACCACAGACGTTTACAACAAATTGACATGCATAATGGATGCTGTTTCTTGGTTGTTATTGTTTTCAAAATAGCATGAATTATTCAGAGAGACTACATAGAATACCCAACAGAGATTTCACTCTGTGTTTAACCAGTCATTGACTAGATGGCCGGGGATTGTGAATTTCCTGTGTATGTATTCTCTGTAAGCCTTGTCTGTGACTTGTTAAATAGAGGAAGGAAGGCAAAGAATATTTGCAATTTAGATGGAAATTCTTTTGTTTACCCCTATTATGGGTAATGAAAGTTTCATATTTTGGTTTTGGGAGTCCCCAACAACAGGTTGACATGCATGCAAGGTCAAAAAACACTTTCATTGTCTTATAATATGCATTTACTTTTACCTTACTTGCTCAACGACTCCCAAACGATTCGCTCAATGATTCATTTTTCCAAACCCCTCCTTTGCGTGATGCTAATCTGCGGTGATTGGTCCACATCATGCCTGTAATGCCTGATAAAGCAGCGCTTGTGAGCGCAGTGCTGCTTTGTGTACAGCGTTACTGGGGAAACAGCTATCTTTGCTCCTCTAAAAGCGGCACCTAGTGGCAAAGAATGAATTTGCATTTTCATTCAGACCAACACGAAAATACCAACAAGTGGGTGGGCAATATGCTAATGTTTCATGTTGACGTCAACATGAAACGGCTTGGGATTCATTTTAAAAATGACTCGTTTCAAAGTTGACTTTTTTTTGAGAGACAATAACTTTATACATGGTGCACTTTCAGATTTAAAGGGGTCATATGATGCAATTTCAATTTTTCCTTTTTCTTTGGAGTGTTACAAGCTCTTGATGCATAAAGAAGATCTGTAAAGTTGCAAAGACTAAAGTCTCAAATCCAAAGAGATATTCTTTATAAAAGTTAAGAGTCAACCAAGCCTACCTAAAACGGCTCATTCTAACACGCCCCCACATGTCTACGCCATGATGTGGGAAGATTTGCATAACGCCGCCCAAATGTTCACGCAAAGAAAGAAGGCGTAACTTTTATTCTCGCT